TTGTTATTTTTTTTAGTTTTACTTTTTACATTTTCTTTTATTTTAAACTTTTATAAGTATTTTTATTTAATTTAAATTGAATTATTTAATTTCATATTTTATTTTACACTTCATATTTTAATTTATTATTTTAATTTATTTTATCTTATTTAATTTAAATACATTTTATTTTTTTATATTTGTTTTATTTTGTATTTTATTTTACACTTTTCATATTTTTAATTTAATGTATTTTGTATTTTTGTTTTGTTTTATTTAACTTTTTTTTTAAATTAGAATGGATAACATTTATTTAATTGTTAATCTAATTATTTAATTATTTTCTTTTATTAGTTGTGTTTTGGTTGATTAATTGTTAAATCAATGGTCAGTGTTTATTTAAACGTGAAGGTGAATGCACTAGCAATTCAGAGGTTGCCGTCCATCTAAGGTGACTATTGAATTGATTATCATTAATCCACCTATAACTACAGCTGAATTTACACGAGGGATCAATACAATATGCAGCTTTCGACCACTTTAGGTCATTCCCAAAACATTTTCCCTGCTTCTCTCTCTCCTTAAATGCCACATATCTTTAATCGTGTTCTATTGAATCTCTGTGCATTTTTATTCAGTCGCTCTCATTTTCCAGTCTGTCTTTGCTTCTCCTTCACGAGAGGTGTGATGTTTTTTTACAGCAACTCTGATGCACAGGGCTCTAAACAAAGATGCCATCATCATGCATTAGACAACCTAACATTTAATGGCCAAACATCTCTGGTTTACATGTCAGCATGAATGCATTCTTATATCCAGTCAATCAATTCTTCTCAACTCAATGTGAAACTGGCCTCATGAAAAAGCAAGTTGGCAATAGTATTTTAATGACTACAAAATTAGTACGAATCAAATACACCCTAAAGACCAAAATGGTCCGTCATAATATCTGATCCATATCTGTGATCTTAAATTGTACTGAAACAAATTAGAATGAATTCTTTTTATTTATAGTGTTTATCATAAAAACATATTTGAAGTATGATGCTTGATCCCCCCACCCCCCTCATTTTTAGTGCCTAATTATTTATGGTTAGATGTAAAATTATAATAATATATCAATTAGAATGAATAAATGATTTGCTCAATCTTATATTTACATCCACATTTTATGAATCCTTTCTATTTAGTGTATACCATAAATAAATGAATAAATATAAGTATGAGCAATAATAATAATGATGCTTGATTTAGCCTTGTTTTTAAAAAAAAAAAGTTGGTCCCTATTTACTTAAAGTAAGGTGTAAAATGATAATATATACATATATACACGCACATTCTAAGTTTACATCTCACTGTAATTGGCCACCATTAAAGTCGAAAATATACAAGCTAAATCAAGCATCATTACTATTGCTTATAATTAAAAATTAATTAATTACAATTTAAATTTTTACTAAAGATTTATGTTTCTAAAGCTGTGCATATGCAAACATAGTACTGTCAGTACAGCCGTTTAATATTAATATAGTGTATGCCTTTAAATTACTAATAAAATTCATAATTTTTTAATCCTTAAACTCAAATACTTATCAAGAATATGAAAAATGTACCGTGACAATAATTTTAACTGCAATTTTCTAGAGATTTGAAATGGTCATTGTCAGCCTCTTCAGAGACCAGTACTGCTTTCAAAATGGACAAAAGAGGTTTGCTTTGTTTGAATCTTTCGAACGTGTAAATGTATAATTACAAACACACAGCAGGAAACAGAAAATGAATGGAAAGGAACTTAACAGATGCTGGCAACCTAAATCATGATGCAATTATCCATCATGCAAACGCACACGGGAAATAAGGACACACTGAATGCAGGAGTGGCAGTGTTGTGAGAGAGAGAGAGAGAGAGAGAGAGAGAGAGAGAGAGAGAGATGAAATGTAACAGACAAATGTACGGTGACAATATTCTAGCGATTTTATATTATTATTGTCAGCCTCTTCAGAGTCCACTACTGCTTTCAAAATGGACAAAAGAGGTTTACTTTGTTTGAAATCTTTCGAACTTGTAAATGTATGATTACAAACACACACGGCATGGAGCAGAAAATGAATGGAAAGGAGTTTACCAGATGCTGGCAACCTAAATCATGATGCAATTATCCATCATGCAAACACACACGGGAAATAAGGACAAACTGAATGCAGGAGTGACAGTGCGGTGTGTGTGTGTGTGTGTGTGTGTGTGTGTGTGTGTGTGAGAGAGAGGCTGACACTGTGTTTTGTCTGCTCTGATCAATACTGAGTCAAGGGCACCTGAGACAGCATGTTTGAGGAAAAGGCAGTGTGTCGTTTGTCCCTTTCTGATCGGATCGTGCGATAACATCCTCGTGACGCAGTGGCCCTGAAGGACATCTGTGTTTCACGCTCTAACTAGTACAGACAACAAGAAAATAACCAACTCATGAATTAGGGAATTCCCACAAGATGGAATGAATTCAGGCTTTCTGCTCATTGAGCACAGAACACAAAGCCAATGTTTGTGTATGTTCACTTTTTTGGTCTATCTATGCATTGATTAAATGAACATAAATGTCATTGGATTATATAACACAGTATTGAACGCTGCAGGATCTTTTCTCTTCACTGACTTCACTGTTCTTCATTTTTGCTCAATGTCTTATGATCAACTGGTGTTTTTAAGTTAGTTCCTCGCAAACATTGTAAAAAAATATTTCAATTATATATCTATTGTTTTATCATCTGAAGCCTAACAAACTTTGTTTTGTGAAAAGCTATTAGACCTTTAAGCACATGAATTTCAGTTCAATAGTACATCTCTCAAAGTAAACTATTACAATGTTATCATGATGTTGTGACATGAATATCACAATATGAACTGACATCGATTCTCTATCAACACGATTTTGGCCGATGCCTCAAAACATGCCGTGACATGATTATGATTTGATTTAATATTTAACTGAATGTCTAAAAAATGCAAATCTTGTGTCCCAGTTGGGAAATCCCCAATAAAAGATACACTTTTAAATAATAAGGAAAAATAAAAATGGTTTTTGCCTTAATTTTTACACATTTCGCACATTTGGATATATGCTGCACACTATGTGATTGTATTGACTTGTGTGTTTACATGCAGTGGTGGCCAAAATGATTAAAACACTAGTATTTTCACCAGCTAAAAATGGGTTTAAGTCAGTTATTTCTATCGTTTGCTGTAGTGTGTCAGTAGGAAATATCAGTTTGCATTTCCAAACATTAATTTTGCCATTAATTGTAATAATCCAGTGAGTTTTTTGTTTGCACAACAGCCAGTGCTCCACACAGAGATCTGATCTGATCATCATCCAGTCTGTCTGGAATGACGTGAAGAAACAACAAACTGAGACAGACTCAATCCAGAAGAACTGTGACAACGTCTCCAAGATGCTTCAAGAGACCTCCCTGCAAAGCTCCCTGAAAAACTACCTGCGCAAGTGCACCGAGGGCAAAAGCTGCTTTAAACGCAAAGGATGCTCACACCAAATGTTGATTTAATTTAGTTAATAGAAGTTTAATAAACTTTGTGTTTACTTAAATTAGATCTTGAATCCCAGATTTTGGTCTCTTTTACTTTTAGACCCCGTAAATTGAAGAGATAATATTGATGATGAAAATGTTCAATGTTATTATTTAACTTATTTTGTTATATTTTATTATTATATCATAATGCGTTTTTTGTTTTTTGTTTTCAAAATCTTCAAATCTTTGTTTATTTCCAGATTTAAATTAGATTTTAGTCCCAGATTTTAAATATGGTTTCTATGGAAGCCCGTTTCCGGCACTGAATAAAAAAAAAAACTTTCTCGCAATTGCGACGTTTTTTCTCAGAATTGTGAGATATAAACTCGCAATTGCGAGTTAAAGTCCAATTTTGAGGGGGGGGGGACTGATATGTTCTCAGAATTGCGAGTTTATATCACGCAATTCTGAGAAAAAAGTCAGAATTGTGCGATAAAAAGTCGCAATTACCTTTTTTATTTTTTATTCAGTGGCGGAAACGGGCTTCCATAGTTTCTTCATGTCATTCCAGACAGACTGATGATGATCAGACCAGATCTCTGTGTGGAGCACTGGCTGTTGTCAGACAAAAATCACACTGGATTATTACAATTAATGGCAAAATGAATGTTTGGAAATGCAAATGGATATTTCCTACCGACACACTACAGCAAAAGATAGGAATAACTGACTTAAAACCATTTTTAGCTGGTGAAAATACTAGTGTTCTAATCATTTTGGCCACCACTGTAGCTTTAGGAAAACAGATATCTTCATTAAAAAATTGTGTGTAATAAAAAAAAATAATAATACATAATTTTTTGGAAGTAAGCAATATTAATAATGATGCTTGATTTAGCCTTCCTAGATTTTTTCTCATTTAATAGTGGTCAATTAGGTGTAAAATAAGAAATAATTAAAATATTAAAATAAATGTATGTATAAATATTGTTAAAAACATTATTTTTTTAAATAATATAGCCTAGAGAAATAAATAATAAAAACAACCCCTTAAATCTTAAAATCGGTTTCTAGAATTTCTTTTTTACATGTCATATTGAGTCATCATATCGCTTGATTGATGGAAAACAAACAAAACAAAACAAAAACAGTGCATGTTCAAAAGAATATATGGCATTATCATGGTATCTTGGTCACACACAAGTATGGCCAGATTCTCATTTTCTATACAAAAAAGTAGCACAAACACAAAAACTACAGTGGCAGTAAAAGTACAAGTACAGCGATGCTATCAGGTAGTGGTTATACTAAAATGTACTATTTATGTTACATACTTGAACGAATAGTTTTTTGTTAGTGTATACGACATTATATTTCACATACAGCCTTTGTCTTATTTAATGAGTATAGTTTGGATAACTACTGGACAAGAGTGTCTTCTTAAGACGCGCGCCCCCGTCTGTCGCGCAGTGAAAGCGCACGCGAGAGAGAGAGAGACTGTCTTGTCTCGGGCCAATCAATCCCTCAGCCCCGTTACCGATTGAGATTTAACAGCGGCTCTGGATCTTAACGAGCGTTCTCCATCCTCGTCGACAGCTGCTCGGCGTCAGCCCCCGTTCGCTTGACTACCGGTTCCGTTTATATCTAGCCAGTTTCTTGAATTTTTAATGGAAAATGGCGATGTTTGCTCAGTCCCCCGGTCTGTTGTGCCTCCTCTCCGTTCAAACTGTGCTGCTCCTCAGCCTCTCTTCACCGGGAACGGCGACGCTCCTCTTTCCTCAGCACTACACGTAAGTACCTCAAGGAAGCGCGAGGCGTCGAACGCGAGCGTTTCACAGCGTCCCAGTTTCGCGAGGCACTCAAGATATCTCCGTTAACGCGGACATGATCGTTTACCATTTCCAGGGAGGTTAAGTTAGTCGTTCAATTACTGATCGAAAGAGGCGTGACAGGAGAGCGGCCATAGTTAGATGTATTTGTAGTTGCTTGCTGATTTTGCTGTCATGTTACCGAGTACGGATACGGTAACGACTGGAGAGTGTTCGGTGCGTTTGAACGCAGCTACTTTTGACTGAAGCGCATCACTCAAACGGGTTTTTATTATTGTAGCCTACCGGCTGATATTAGATGCAGGATTCCCACAATCATGAATAAACTGAAGACATCAGGGAATTAAAAAAATGCTGTTTTTATAGTCAAGGGAAAGTCATTTTTGGATTGTATATCTCCGCTCAGAGCCAAAATGCTTTTTTTGTGTGTTGTGAGTGCAGTGTCTGTAAATTGTCATTGGACATAAGGGCTGGGAACCCTGTAACTTGTTTCTTTGAAACGTAAGATAGTTTTAGTTTTGGTTCTACCCTGTTAGAGTCTCAGGTGTAATTCAGATTCTGAGAGCATGATGACTTGTCTGTATCAGTGACCCGTTTGATATTGATTATTGCTTGTAAACTACCCATGATAAGTGTCTGGAGGACAATTTCTTCTTTAAGCATCAACTTTGTCTGAGATGTTTCCTTAAAATTAGACACAAGTGAGACAACTGTTGACATACAGTAAGAGAATGTGGGTTTCGCTGAATTGAATGCATTTATTGGTGTTTAAGAGAAACAATTGTGATTTTAAATAGACCTCTTTTGAGATGTTTCTTGAATCAGTTTTTAATCAGTTTCCCCCCTTATTTCTCCAAAAACTGCATTAGATTCCTAATGCATTTAATCTAATATGGAAGTATACCACCATTCATGAAGTTTAGAATTGGTTGTTGCATTGTACAAAGATGTACTGCAGCATACTATCATTTGTGTTTGCCTCGGGGGCATGTAAAGCGTCTCATTTTTGTGCTGTGCACCAGTCGCTTTCTGAAGTGAGGGTGTTGTTGGGTCCATGCCAGTTGTGCGCTGGTATGGGGCGGAGGCTGGATTTGTCCGCTGTGTGCCCACACATGCCAGTCCCCAGTGGATTATCTCGTCTCTCATGCCGTATGAAATCATAGAATTTTGATGCTGTTTATGTAAGGTTTTACGTAATGTGAAATGAAGTTGTGTGTGATCTTGTTGTTGACATTTGCAGCTAAAAATTATATCTCTTTTTATATTGGAAATTATACATACAGTGGTTTTCTCAACTCAACTGGTGGGTTGCAATCCAAAAATAGGTCGCAAGTCTGAACAGATAGGGTTGCAATACTGCAGATAACTGTATGATCAGGCATAGCTAGGATAGTATAACATATAGACATTATTAACTTTTAATTAAGAGGAGAAAAACATTTTGTATTTCTTTGGTTGTTGATGTCAAAGGACATTTTTGTATGATAAACATTTTTGGTACATACAATTTGGCTACTCAGTGTAAAATCATAAGAATAATAATAAAAAAAAAAAAAATATATATATTTATTTTAATTCATATATATTTGATTAAATTATATTATATATTGTTATTAAATATATTATTTTAAACAATTTTGCTACTCTTGATCCAGTGTAATATATAATATTGTATTATATTATTTTATTTTGTATTATATTGCAGCATATTATATTATATATTTTTATTTATTGATTATTTTACAGTTATATATAATATGATATAATTTATATAATATAACTGGTTATTTTATCCTCACTGTTTGAGGCAATTATCACTGTGTCAAGTACAATTTTTAATAATAATAATAATAATAATAATAATAATAATAATTGTATTTGAGACTGATAATGATACATCTTCGTACAATTTTAGACATTTGTACAATTTTATAAATATATTCCTCCTTATGTTTTGTGTATTTTGTCTGGGCATTATATCAGAATTTTATATAAATGTAATAAAGATATATTATTCCATGCTTGACACGATAAGAACTAACCTGTTGCTCTTTGAATTATTCCTGCCTTGCATGAGAACGGTGTCGTGCATTTGAAAGGATTGTTTCACTTTGCAAACAGCGCAGCATATGTAATCTGTGAACCTTGATAAGCGACGTCTAAGCACAGAGACGCTGCCAGAGAACAAATAGTCCATGTCTGGATAGTGTAATGCCTAAATAGTACATTAGGCTGGTTTTCAACTCCTGTACGGTTAATAACTGATAATCTTCATAATACGCTGATATACACTGTCTTTTGCTCTCTCTGTTTGTGTGTTTTCTGCTCGCGGTGCTGTGGCCTGTAGTCACAGAGATTTGTAACGCTTATTTTACACAGTGCTTTGAGCCTCGAGGCCTGCTCCTCTTTACCAAACCCAGTCAGTAAGCAAGCATGACCACCATGGAGAAGGATTTAACAAAAGCAAAAAAAAAAAAAAACATCTGTCAATAACCAAAACCAAATCATGCTTACGTTTATCAAAGCCTATTCCATTCCATGTTTTAATCTTATAAAGGTGATAACAGACAAGTGGCGGTATGCTTTCTTTTTTAATCTTTTAACCATGGTTTTAGTTTTCGCATAAAAGAAAGTGGCTGCCTTGTTGTTTTTAAAGCTTTGTTCCAAAACCTAGTGAGTCTTTTAAGGCATCATATGCACATTCCTGACAAGGAGGCTATTTTGAAAGCCATTAATATGGTGGAAGAGAAATATTGATTGAAAATGTATTTCTTTCTTTATCAAAAAGTATTGATTATTTTCATCTAATTCAAATTTGTATGTTGGTGCCTCTGTAAAACGTTTCAAATTTCCCAAGTATGAAGTTCCTTTGTCAAGTATGCTTCCGTGTAAGGCAACAAGACAGCTTACTAGCTTATAAGAAGCTCACTTGTTTTGAAACAGAGCCTAAATGGCATAAAATCCTGGTCTTTAATTCATAAACATCAGCCATTGAGTTAATCGTGTACCTGTTGTGTAGGTCATAAACGGGTCATCCCAAAAATCTCCTTACTGATAACATTTAAGGGTGTTTTGTGTTACAGATTTGCATCATGATGACGCAATTTGAGTGAGAGACATGCGCTCTCGTGGTACCGATTACCTCCAGTCACTCGGCAGGCTGGTTAATGGCTAAATGACTCGGCATTTAAATAATTAATTTGGAGAGGAAAGTAACCTCTTCTTAGTGACAAACCGAGTCTCCTGTCTTCTTTCAGCGTTTTTTTTTTTTTTTTTTCATTTTATTCAGATAGCCTATAGCTTTGAGCTCACAGTTTGAAAAAGACTTGTGGGTATGGTTGTGCACCTTTTAAATGTAAACTTTAAATGAAAAAATAAAATGCCTTTTACGTTTTCAATTCAATTTTAAGGTAGCTAACAGGATCCAGTGAATAAATATCATAATTGGTTAGGTTTTGTCACAACACTCTTTGAATTCCAATTCAGTGTATCCCCCTTCCTGTTCAACGTCCTGTGAGGGTGTGGCCAATTCAATTCAAATTCCAGTTAATGCATTGAAATTAGGATTCAGCTCTTACAATAAATTCAGAATTTCACCATATTTTTTTATTCTTAGTGTTATTGTTATTAGTGCACTAAAAATGTGTAGAAACAATTTTTATTTTGTAATTGGTAGTAAGTTTTACAGTTAACTGCAAAAACAGCAACACATTGAATTAGACATGAATTTAGGTAGAAAGACTGAAATAATATTTTCTCATAAAACATACTAAAATAATCTTTGTTTTATTTATAACTTCAAAACAAACTTTTTACAGTGTAGTAGTATATCACAGTCCTGAATGGCATTTATTTATTGTATATTTTATGTTATAAGATTATTGATAATTATGTCAATGATGAAGTTTAAGCTTGGTTAAATGAAGACACAAGGCCATGTGATATTAAAAATAGAATTTATTTTAGCTGTAAATAATTAAGCTGTGTACAGACTAAAATATTTTTTATGTAATGTGTAAAAAATAGTCTAAAAATACTGGCCGTCTCAGTGTTATGTCTTTGTAGTGCGCTCTCCATGGTGCTGAAAGGTCACTGTTCAACCACATTTACATGCGTGCTGGGAATTTTAACTTTTTCTTCAAAGAAAAGCAATCATACATAAACAAAACTGTTTTTTTTAAAAAGCCTGTAAGGATGAAATGTCAGCCATGCACTCAAAGTACTTTTGTTTTCTGTTATGAAATGATGAGCATTGTCTGTAGAGCTTGTGTTAAATGAGTTTATTACTGTGCCAGGATCAGTATACGAGTCACAGACAATAATTAGTAGTAGGCACTCAAGTTTAATTTAGGTTATTATAATACTGAACACAATAAAATAGCCTATAGCATATTTTATCGTTATTGTGAGAGTTTCGTCCTGTCTAACATGCTTTAGGCACCAGTTTTGTGATTGGTTTTCAATCTTTGCTATTCCTAATCTGCCTTTCTTTTACATGTGCAGTGAATATGAAACCCTGCTTTAAGTGAGCACATCTCTGGATCTTACTGCTGGTTTTGTGGTATTTAACCAGGGATATTCAGGCTGGTTAGTAAGGCAACTTCAAAGACGAGAGATTTGAAAAGAGAAGTTGTAAAAAGCAATAGAGAAGGGCCAGTGTGAGACAGTTTTCAGCCAGTTGAGAAAAGTAACATTTACCCTGTTGGGTCAGTGCTGTGTTTTAACTATATTTTACAATTATTGGTTATGTAGAGAGGTTTTTATGGCTTGCAAATGCAAACTTCGTTAAATTTCCTGTGACATATTGAACATTGTTGCTGATTTCCAAGATAACATTATTACCAGCATATGATTATGTGTACTGAAAGCATCAGTTAGAATTGTAAGCAGTTTAAAATTGTAAGCATATCTATCTATATCTATCTATTTATCTGTCTGTCTGTCTTATGTTTAAAATGATA